TGTAGAAATGGACAGCCCAGAGTAGATATGTGATGGCATGATATTCAGATAACATTCAGCTATTTTCTCCTGAGTCTTCAGGTAAAACACTGTGAAAGCAGCCGGTTCCTTTTACTAGTTCTCCGTATAAAGTTTTACATTGTCTCTTAGAACCACATATTCCACTGAGTTTGCTTCTAGTTACTTTGTGCATGAGCTTTAACAGGTTCATAATGTGTCACGCAGGGCTGAGTGATGCATTTACTGTGATTTCCACTCATGAAGGCTCATTTCTATGGCTGAGAGATGATAATGGAAGGTCCTCGCTGAGGACACAGCCGTGGTTCAACAGCAAATTTAGCTTTTGTTAAGATTCCTCCTAATCTACAGGATCTTGAGACAGATTTAGTCAGACATGCATACCACTAATTATGTGCTGAACAAATAATTACCATGTGTGCTAGATAAAGTGTTTATACTGTAGTTCTGTGTGTGCTGAAGATCTACTGGAATAGATCTACTGTTTCTCTGTACGCAGCAGATGTCCCCCGCTGAGCTACAGTGGCTACCCCCAACTGAGCTAGAAGGATTTCAATTACATATTGTATGTTTTTCTGTTGTTTTTTTTTCTGTTTGCCAAAAATATTTCCTCAAGTGTCCTCTTATTGTTCAGTTCAGTATTTGGACAGACAAACCAAAGGAGTGGGGTGACCATGGCAGTAAGTGACCAAATAAAATATATCAGAGCAGGAAGACAGAGGTGAGGGGCTTCCTGAACAAGAAGGATATTAGACAGAGATGGTAATCAAGCAGCACAGACTCTGTACAGTCCTTCAACGTATTCATGTTAACATACATGTGTTAAAATACGTTCATTAATTCATTAAGGTGTGAAGACTCATAGTTGCAGTTATGGTTTTACTAAACGAAAGACAATGGTGCTCAATAAATAGATTTTTTTTTAATGACATTATCAAGTGATAAGACTAAAGTTGGTCGTATACTTTTCTTCTTTTCAACAAATCACATGGAAGTACTAAAGCCATCAATGTATTAGTCTGCCTCTTAAGACTCCCTGACTTGCCGACCATGTCTCTGGCACTCCGGCCCAAGTCCACTTGTTCCTGCTGAAGATTTGACACTTTAAAAATGGCTCACAAATATATAGTGTAATTTTTTTAAAGGCTCTGTAATTGTCTAAAACAGCTGGGCACTGTAAAGAGTAAATTGTGCATTTGTTAGGGGATATTTTCTGCTGTGGTATAACACACATTAGTGAGATTGTTTCAAAATAAACTACAGTGCATATGTCCATTATAATGAAGGAACATGTCACTCAGTGCAACATGATTTTTTAATAGTTTTTGACAACAGTGAAGCTCTATAACAGAGAAAAATGTTATAAGAGGCTGGGGTTTCTCAGCCAATACATGTTAGTTTCAAGTCATAGGTAGTTTTGGTCTTTTCATGGGATTTGTTGACAATAGGAAAAACAGAATGTCTCCTTCAACCATGACCTTGGTGACGCACAGGTTTGGTGATGTAAAATGAGTCACTCCTGACTGACCTAATTTTTCATTTTAGTGATCATATGGCACAATGACAAAAAAAAAAATCACATTTTAATGTCCACCTTGTTTCCTCACCTCAATACATCCTTTCCACCATCGCCTCCTTGGGAGGAGAGGATGAGTCTGTCCTATGAGAATAGGTGAAGCCAGAATTTAAAAAAACCTTATGAAGACTAGGAAAGCTGCTTTCTTACAATAGTCTTTTATTAAATTCAGTTATGATACAGATCTAATGCAATCATTCTGCTTTGACCTGAAAGTAAATATTTTGCATATTGAAGTGGCAACCTCTGTATATGTGTGTAAGTACTCTTTATGCTTTTTCTCTTTCTCTTACACTGACTCTTTTTTACTTAGATCTCTTTTTTTCCTTTTCCTACCCCTCCCACCAAGAAGCATATACTCACACTCTGCCCACTCAAAGGTGAGGAGGAGTCTGTATATTTGTCAGATATGTTTTAATGTCTATAATTTCTTTGAACATAGTCGGTGCTTATGTTTTATTACTGAGTAGAGTTATCAGAAGTGTTGTTGTAGGCTGCATTTATTCACATCTAATTGTCATATAACGATTGTATTTTGCTTTTGAAAAGTACACATGAATTGTGGATGTTTGTGATATGGACGTGTGTGTGTGCATGTGTGTGTGTATGGTTATGTCTTTTGCGATCATGGCTTTGAATGTGTCATTCTTGTCTCTAATCCCTCGTAGTAGAAATTACATTTTATATAAAAACAAAAAAAGGATAGTAATTTATCTATTATCTAAAGAACATGTAATTTATTTTCTGTTTTAAGAGGCTGTAGCATTTTTTTTTGTTACCACCAGAGTTTATGAGATTGTTATTATTGATACATGGATGGATTTTTTTTTTATCATGTAAAAACAAAAAACAGTGTGGGAAAATTATTGAATTAAAAACTTTCATTTTAAATAAAACTGAAACAACAGAGACATTAAGTGGTGTCATGTTTTGTTTTGTTTTTGTCCAGTGAATGAGATTGATATATCCAGTTTCCTCCAAGCGATGGCGCCATTGAGTCTCTGAATGACCAGGTTCAGTTGTCCTCAGATATTAGTCTCCTACAGGGTAAATGTCTGTTTTTGGTGGTAAGTCTGTATTTAGACTGGTTGTGTGCTTGTTGTATTTAATTATAATAATTTTATTTAAAAAGTCTCCCAAGAGCTGGCCAAAATGGCACAGAAAAATCAGTAATTTTACCACATTCCTGTATAGAACAATTAACAGTATAGGACCTGAAAGACATTAAATAACCAATAAACACTGTTGAAACGATCACATTCCTCATTAAGCCTGTTTCATGTGCAGTGTTGTTTTTGATTGTTTGATACAAAGACCAAGTTTCCAAATGAAATTTATCATGGAGATTATGCCAATTCCACAGTGGATAATGTGAAGGGAAAAAAAGCCTAGTTGAGAAAGGTCAGATATGTCTTGCTGCCTGAGGTGTAAATGTAGGAGTGGCTGTAGGAGTATGATGAGCAGGGCCAACAGTAAAACAAAGTGAAGGCAGGGAAAAAGAGTTTGAAAGTTTAAAGGGCATAGTAACTTTCTTAAACTATATTGTTGCTAAAGTACAGTAATGTATTGTAGGCCTGTGGCAAGGCATGGTGTAGAAACACTGGTCATGAGCCCTATATGAATACTCTTCATAGACACTTTTTTTTAAAGTATTACATAGCTTAATCCTTGAATCAGCTGGTACAATAATACCTATCATATAACTATGGAATGTAAACTATAGTAGACCCTGCCAGGTGATACTTAATCTGTTTCTAGAAAATTATTTGTTGGCTATTGGCCAAGGGTTTTTTTTCATGCATTGGCTGGATCAGTGATAATTACATTAAAATAATTAAATCTTGAAGCTGTAAAGTTTTATAAAACTGTATCTGTAATTTGTTTACTGCTGCTTTTAAACGAGATAGACAATTCAAAGTACCTCAGTGTGGAGGTGAAGGAATAGGTGAATTGCTTACATAGTAACATAGTAACATAGAGTTGAAGTTTTTCTCTCCTCGGCATCCCTGGTCTTGCATTTGCGTGCGTTGTTTCTTCTTCATCGTGCAGGGAGGCTTAACAACCCTGGTGGCGTGCTGCCTGCACACCGTTCACATCCGCAGGGCGCAGCGGGCGTTGCGTGCCTCTTTTGCCGGTGCTGGGTTTGTAAGAAGCCCCTAGTGAGGTGATATATACATGCAAGTTTGTGTGTGTGTATGTTTGTGTGTGTGTGTGTGTGTGTGTGTGTGTGTGTGTGTGTGTGTGTGTGTGGGCAGGGTGTATATGGTGGATGGATGTGGCGGGGGATGCTGGCTCACAGAGGGCACGAGGCAAGGCAAGCAGATGGTGACCTTTTGGAGTAGATTACCATGAACCCTATGACTCTCTCTTTCCACTCAGTCTCTTACCAAGACTCTGATCACGCACACACACCTTATAGATTAGAAAAGGGGTGTGATAATGCTGTTTAGCAATGGAAGCATCCTGTCTTTACATAGTAGCCCAATGTCGGCCGGTTTTCCAAAGTACAGACTGTAAAGTAGGCCAACTCCAACCCGGAGCTATCTCTCCTTCCCTCTGTCACACATTTACTCTGTGTGGGTGTGAGCGTGTTCTCTGGATCGGGCGTGAACAGCTGTAGTAGTCGTGACTGCGTGCTCGACGTCGGCGGCGCGCTTTCGGATTCACTTCGTCAAGTCAAGAGGCATCGTTTCAGCACCAAGGCCAGGGCTCGCGGCTAGAACAATAGGCGGCTCCGCGCACGGTGTAGCCTAGGCAACGTCTGAAAAGTTTGTCCCGCAAACCGTCGCTCAGGCAGAGCGATTAAAAATACTTCAAATGCTTCTGAAAATTCGTATTGTGGATATAAACATAGCACGTAGCAGCGTTGAGTTTAACGAGTGTAGCCGTAATGGTAGTTGAGTAAGTGAGAGACGATATTGTAATTTTTCGTGTGAGTACGGTGATGAAAGTTATTGACGGTCCCTGTGAGTTACGTCACAGGCTAGCAACCGCTTTGGTGCTAGGAGGGGGAGGGGGAGAAAGAGAGTAGGGGAGATACCGGTAAAGGACGTGGAAAGCCATCCAGCCGTTGGACGGGAGAGACACCACAAGAAAACAGAAAATAGCGAGAATATTAAGTGAGAATAGCCTCCATTAACAGTTAAAACGGCAACAAAAGGCCGAAAGAGGCTGTTACAAGAGTACAAGCAAGTTTAAACAGTTGGAAGTTACTCAAAATTTAAGCTGGTTAGCCCGTTATCACTTTGTAATTTAACAGGAATTAAGAGTGGACTTTCGTGAAAGTGATAACTAACTAGCTAGCTCGGTGCACTCTGGATTTCGAGAGTCGGGAGGTTGGTTGAGTTTCAGTGGGACCCGTGACAAGCTGTAATTTAGAGTCACCTGCCAGGACTCTCCTCCGCCACCTCCAGACCTGAAACAGGGGGTTTTTGTAAAAACACAGCCGAGTCTATAGTGTCTGTACAGCGAGGAGGAGGAGTGGGAGAGTAGTACGGCAGGCACAAAGAGCGGAGAGCATCCAGAGAAGGGAGGAAGGAGGACGGCACGGAGGGAGCGCGGTGAGGACAACAACGGGGACCCAACGGAGAGCATCCCTCTTTAATTTCTGATCTGCACAGGCAAGACTGTGCTCATAAGCATCATCTGTAAACGGTAAGCGCTTTAATGTATGTGCTCTGTTAATTTCCTTGTGTTGTTTTGTTCTGGTGCGTGTGTATGTGTCCGTGTGTGTGTGTCCGTGTGTGTGTCCGTGTGTGTGTGTGTGTTCGTGCGAGTGTGTGTGTGCGTGTGTGTGCGTGTCTGTGTGTGCGCGCGCGCGCGTGTGTGCGTGTGTGTGTGTGTGTGTGTGTGTGTGTGTGTGTGTGTGTGTGTATACATATGTGTGTGTACATTGAGGGGAGATCGGACAAAGAGCAAGGGAGCCCCATGACATCCGTGTGTATGCTGTAACCTACAGCTGGCTAAACAAAGAAACCGCTCTATTGCAATGATTTACCCCCAGTCACGCTGTTTCTTCTCTTTTTTATGTGTAGGGACCCTGAACGCCGTTTTTCCATCAAAAGGTAATGCATGCTTACAGATATTTTCTCCATATATAAATATATATATATATATTTTCTTTAATTGGGGAAAAAAGTGCCATTATTGTTTTTTGATTGGCTAATTAACATTTGCATAATTGTTTTTCCAGAAGCCACTGGAGCTCTTTGTCATCCGATTGGGCAATAAATATTCAAAATAATTACGCAAACAGTCTTTAAATTTATTTACATAATGGTGGCACACATATTACAGTCTAAGAGCACATCCAAATAAGATATTTTGTTAAGAATTTATGTTAGTAATATTTTTTGTTTTTTATTCTTTTCTAACCTAGAAATATTCTAATTCTATTATAAATGTCATATTGTAAACATAAGTTCCTTAGGGAATATTACAAACATAATGGCGATTCTATACTAGTTTTTAAATCTATAAAGTGTATTCATTATGAATTGATTGTTCTATACCATAAGCCTCTAAATTAATGTTTTGAGGATTATTATTGTGATTTTTGATCATGGTCTTCCTCTGTTTTGTTTTTGTCTCCACCTTTCTGGATGGGACCAAAAGACCCATCAAGCATCTCGTTGCTTCTCTCCAGGGATACCTGCTTCTGATCTGTTTGCCCCTCAGCCCTTGCAGTACCCAGTCGCCCTCTCCACTCTGTCCCGATGAAGGAGGCCGATGCCATCAAGCTGTTCGTGGGGCAGATTCCCCGGAATCTGGAAGAGAAGGACCTCAAGCCTATTTTTGAGCAGTTTGGCAAGATCTATGAGCTAACTGTGATTAAGGACAAATACACTGGCATGCACAAAGGTAGGTCTTGCCATTATAGCACAGCCTAAACATAGAAATACAAATAGATAGATAGATAGATAGATAGATAGATAGATAGATAGATAGATAGATAGATAGATAGATAGATAGATAGATGTGACAGTAAGGCAGATAGATGGGTGGATTTTCCTGCACTGAGTGTCACTTGTCTCCATGGAAACTGTCACACCTCCTCTCGTCTTCATCTCCCGTTAACACTGCAATGTGAGATCAATATGACAGGCAAACAAACTCAGTTACTACACGAACGCTGTGAATCAAAAGCGCTTTTATGCATGAGTATGATTGTTGCAAAGATAAACTGCCTATGTAGACAAAACATGCTTGTTTATGTTCCACAGAATAGGATATATAAACGTGTGATGGATAGCTTTATAATATAAGATATATTGAGTTGAGAGTCTCTTGATTATGTTAAAGATTAAGAGTCTTTAAATAATGGTTACTTGTAACAAAAGATCAGGAATAAACTGTAGCAAACACACACACACTCTTTCTCTCTCTCTCTCAGACACACACACACACACACACATACACATACACACACACAGTGACCTGGGGTCCTGTGTGTTATGAACCAGATTAGGCTGTATGCTCCAATCAGTGTAATGGGCCTGTAAGCCTGGGTGACACAGGGGAAAGAATCTGTTGTTTTGAGAATCCCCATGGTCACAGTAAGCCCCTCTTAAAAGCAATGAGATGGGCCATAAGATGCATGTGTGCCTGTGTGTGTGTCGGTTGTGTACTTTCCTATGTGTGCTTTAGTTTGTCTTGTCTTTCTGTATGTATTTTATTTATCTTGTGGCATTATGGTGAGTCATTCTCAATTCCTCAGATGTACACTCTGCGTGAATGTTTCCTTCCTAATGGTCAAATCTTCTCTTCTTTACTCTGAATCTACATTAGTCTCTCTGACATGTCACTGGGATGCTAACCTGCTGCTAATCTTGTTGTCTTAGTGCTGGTGACAGGTGTAGTAAACAGCTCTGGCCAGCCAGCTCTACTACCTACCCCTCCCTCATACACACAGACACAGGTACAGCACATAGCAAAACAGAGGGAGTGTATTTGGAGTGATCGTGAGGCATGCATAGTGGTTGGTATAGGGCAGGAACCTGACTGTGCCAGCCTGTAAGGCCTTGTTAGCCCCGCGCACGTCTGTGGTGCTGTCGTGTGCTGACTCGTGCCGTGCCGTTCTGAAATGTGCCGTGCCGTGGAGTGTCTTTCTCTGCTCTAGAGTGCATCATCATGGTGTTGTCAAGTATCATCACAGTGCATGAATATGTATTTTTTTAATCCTTTCGCACAGTTAGCCTAGTGATAATTCAGAATAGGTGAGAAGTAACTAGGGAAGGCATCAGAAAGGAGACGTTTAAATGATTTAAATGGTGTGTGGCTATGTGTTTGTAGGGGAGTGATACAGAGACAGAGATGGAGAATGACAAATCTTGGAGCTACTCACTGAACTTCTCTACCTTCACCCCTTTCCCTTCTCTTTCTCTGTGTCTCTCTGTCTGACAGGATGTGCGTTTCTGACGTACTGTGCGAGAGAGTCGGCACTGAAAGCCCAGAGTGCTCTACACGAGCAGAAGACACTACCAGGGGTAAGTGCACATCACAAACATACACACAAACACGTAGCCCCAGACAGTACACACTTCACACTTATGCAACAATACTCACAAGTTTGCATATACACTCACATCACAAGAGCCCCCTCTCCTCTTGCATGCACGGGCGCTGCCAACTACCTTGTACACACACACACACACACACACACACACACATACACACACACACACACACACACACACACACACACACACACACACATACACACACGCACACACGCACACACACATAAAAGTAGCTTCACATCAGTGTTTGTCTGTGCAGTTGGATGTTCAGCTCCCATTAGTAACACTGTGACATAACATAACATAACAGCCAGCAGGCGTCTTGCTGCTAAGGACAAACACTCCCTCTCACCGGAGACACATACGGTACTCCGTGAGCATGATCATCTCCATTTCTCTATCTTTCTCTGTCTCTCCATCTCTCTGTCGGTCCCTCTGTTAGCCTCCGGTGATAGCTCCCGCCTAGAGAGTGTGTGTAATTAATGTGGCCATTCCCCTTTGTCTCATCCCAGCCTCCCTCGGTCTCTCTAGTGAGGGATCGTGTGCTGCGGCTGGGCAGGGGTAGGACACTGTTCATTATGGATGGGGCACAGTGCTGGATCTGTGTCTGTCTCGTAGGCTGTACCTCTCTGTCGTTCCCTCGCTCTTTTTTTTCTCTCTGACCTGGTTTCCACTGCAGTTAACAACAGATTTTACAGTAACTGTTTTGGAACATTTTGCAATTTTAACCTATTTCTTAGAAGAAAAGTAGTGTGCACAACTCCCCAGCCCAGACAGAGTGCTGTGAAAGTATAGGACGTTTTGTAGAAATTACGTTTTCCTAACTATATCTAAACTTTGATTTATAACAGTTATAACAGAATAATGAATGTACCTCTACCATCTCTGAGGTTATCTCTATCTCATTCTCTCTGTGTCAGTCTGCCACTGATCAGAGTTTCAACTCAGAGTTTCAGCTCCTCCTTCTCTGCAAGCTGGGGTGTTGATAAGATCTCTGTGAGAAAAGGGTTGGAGGGGGGCCTGAAGGAAAGGCGTTGGGGGAGGGGAATGTTCTAACACACGTGCACGAATCCCTGCATACATACATATTGCAATCATGCATGCTTTTTCCATACAACTAAGGAACATCTCTGCATTCATACATACACACTCACACATAAACATAACATGTTAATAATGAAATTAATCCAATTAGGGCCTACTAAGGGGTCTGACCTTTCAGCAAAAATCACCTGTCCACTGTCTGCTGTGTCTTGTTCCTCTCTCCCTTGTTGCCCTTTATGCTTTGACTCATCCCTCTAACCCTTTCCACTGGGTTTTACTTTATCCTTTCGAGCTGATGACATCAACAACAGGCTCATTGTGGCAAAGGAAATTATCCATAAGCCTGCTTTCTGAGCAGATAAATTGTGATGAATATTCTGTACACACGGAGGAAACATTTGCAGGGAGGATACTCATTAGCACTACAGATTTACTAAAGAGCCAGCACACAACAATCAGAAGCACCACTCCCCGGAGGAAGAGAAGTACTGGAACAAGGGTGTGGCTGTCGTGTACTGGGTTCTCAATAAGCCTGAACTATTAATGTTAGGACATTACTGTTTCTGCATGTGGCTTTGAATTTGGAGTGTCTTGCCTTCCCCTTGGAGGTTTATGAGAAAGAGATATCCCTTATTCTGTTTGAGCCGAAAGTTGTCAGAGTAAAGTACTCGCAAAACATTGAAAAAATGTTCGAAGAAGGGCTTATTTTAGCATGCTTGTCTGAGTTCAATGAATTGGTTGATTAGTAACAGTAAACGGAAGCTATGTCACAGTCACACAAATGTTTCTTACTCAATTCCATCAATAACCCTGTTAATCACTCAGATATGTTGACTACTGCTTGAGTTTGATATAATTTTGCAATGGATAAATCAACATCTCATATCTCCAAATAATTCCAAAGTATTATTTTTGGTGTATTTATTTTAGCTTGGAGGCCTCTGCATAGTGCAACACCTCCTCTCCCTGTGTCTTTTCTAAGGTTTAGCACTGCTGTCACTTTACACTACCTGTCTATACCCTTTCTCTTTTCTGTGTATATTCCCTCTTCTTCCTCCCCCTCCCTGGCAGTTGCCTTCTTTGACAGGATCTAGAAATGACTTCAGAGGATTTCTCCCTCTCTTTCACACATCCTCCCATTGTCCCATTCTTTTCTCTCCCTAAGAATTTCTTTTTCATCCCTTCCTTATTCCTTCTTTTATTTCCCCCCAACCCTCCATGCTTTCCCTCATTCCATTTTATCTCTTTTTTTCCCCTCAAATCCACTCATTCCTGTGTTCAACTCCTCCCCTCACGTCCTCCACTTTCTCTGCACCAGTAGAATATTACAGAATGTTCCCTTCACTACCCCCAACCCTTTCATCGCTTGCTCCTTTTCCTCTCTAAAATCTCTTCATGGTATCCCTCTCTCATCCCCCCTTTTCCCTTCCTGCTGTCTTTTACTCATTTTTTTCCCTCACTGCACACTCACGCTTCCTCCTCAGATTCTCATTTCACAGTCATTTATGGTAACCCTTCTCCTAAGACCTCTTCTCAACGTCAGTCCTTCTCTCTCCATCTCCCTCCTCCAACCCCCTCCCCCCATGAGTTCCTCTACCCCTCGTCTCATTTCCCCTCCTCTTGATTAGTTGACCCTTTTGACCGTTTCACACCCCCATCTCCTCCCTCTCCTCCCCCTCTCCCCTTCTTCCCCGGCTCCACTTGTTAAGCTGCATGATTAGTTTCTCACAAACTCATTTTCATAGTACAATCCTGGGCTCACCGTGGGGCAAGCAGGCTGAGGTGTGTGTGTGTGTGTGTGTGTGTGTGTGTGTGTTGTGTTGTGTGTGGTGTGTGTGTGTGGTTATGTGTTGTGTGTGTGTGTGTGTGTGTGTGTGTGTGTGTGTGTGGTGCGCGTGTGTAGAAGGAGTGATGTGCGTGTAGTGTGTGTGTGTGTGTGTGTATGCATGGTAGTCTTGGTGGAGTGGGACTTGAATCTTGGGATCACTCTTAATTGCAGGCATTGGTGGAAAGTCAGGCACCTCATACAACCTCATACAAAAAGAACTGTAGCATCACACATTCATACAGATGTGATTCGCTTACACCCATGGCCAAGCAATTAAGGTTTGGTGACAAGTTCAATGCTACAGAGCACTCTGGCTGCTCCTGTCTGCCACTCACTGATGGGATTTAACGCTGATTTAACAGTTCCAACCAGCCAGTAGAGGAATGAATGGAGAGAGATAAACACAGAGGGATGCAGAGAAACTATACCACAAATGTCCCCCGCTATGTTCAGCAGAGGCAGTAGACTGTCAGATCGGAAAATGAGGAAAAAGGACAGAGGGATTGAGAGAGAGAGATGAACAGATGGTCTTATCAGAATGTCCTGCGCCTTGTGTTTAATTTGGACACAGAGAGGGAAAGAGAAGCACAAAGGGAGCACAAGATGAAAAGAGGGAAAGAAAAACAGAAAAAAGAGAGAGAGAGATGCCTTATATTAGTCACAGTGGCAGAAACAGTGGAACCACTAGCAAGTTCCACTGTAGCATACAGATGTTGTGCTGTATTAGATGTGGTGCAGAGATTCCCCTCTGGGATACATCCACATGAAAGAGCACATGTTTAGCTGTCACATATCAGTGCTTATTTGCACTTGAAAATTGAATTTCTCATACACATTTGCATGCAGGGGTTGTGCCAAATGGGAATGATGAGAGAAATATGCAGTGAGGTAACAGGACAGGACAAATAGAAAAATAATCAGGACAAAAAAGCATCTCCATTAAGCAGTAATTTTTATTTATTTCATTACTTTTGATATTTTAGAGGAGCCAAGTTTATGCTTGTCATTATCATATCTGTATACATGACTTGTATCACATTGCCACAATAGTTTTCATTACACACATATGATTATCTGCTGTTCAAGGGACTAGAGGCACAATAGTTTAGCGAGTAGTGTGTGTCTCGTTAGTCCAGAGATGGTGGCATTAGGCTGATGGCGTGTGTCCAAGGTCAGAGGCCAGGGCTCAGCTTCTAGTCAACAAATGCAGGGGGGCTGGTCTCAGAGCTGTAAAACTTTTCTGCAGGAGAACCAGTAGGACATGACAACTCCCATTAGTGTTTGGACCAGCGTTATTTAGCATAATGCTTTTGACAGAAGGGTGATGAAGGGATGGTGAAGTGAAAGTTGGATACAGAATTAATGTTATTTGGTTTTATCTCATTTTAGTAGTATTCTTTTGGAGTTAACATTCTCAGGGCAGAATTTGTCTGACAGCCTAATTTATAAATAGTGTAACAGAAACACGATGTAATGATGTGCCTGTTGTTAGTGCAATGTCAGTTGGTATTACAATGTAAGCCAATTAAATTTGCATTTTGTTAGCCTGCCAAAATTGTATGTCATTACCAATTTGTCTATATTTAAGCAAAAAAGAAACAAATCAGTTGAAATTTGGGATCCATGATTAATAATCAGAAAACTTAACCCACTCAGAAAATTTTATTGTACTACTTTCTCGTTCCCTTTTAGTAGATCTCATAATTTTCTCATCTCATGGACACACACAGCACTACCAGTCCTTACATGCTCCTATCAAAAGCATACTGCACACAGTTACTAATAAATGCACATCCTTGCTTGTACACACAGAATTTACAGTAATCATTAATACAACTGTCCTTGCTTCATCCTAATCCCCCCAATCCATCCTTCCTCCCTCTCGCTCTCTTTTTTCATCAGGCCACACTTCCCTCCCAGCCTGTTTAGATTTTAACGTCCTATCTCCCCCCACTCTCTGTCTATCGCTGCATCTCTCCCAGGCCTACTGCTGCTGTATTTCCTCCCTTATCTTTTTCTTTTGTTTTTTAACATCAGTATCTCTCTTCCCATTTAATCTGCACTCTCTTCTCTCTGCATTTATCACTCCCTTCAT